CACGGCAACGCCCCGGGCACCGGTCCCCACTATGGTCCCTCTGCTGCTACTGCTGCTCCTGGCCACCCTGCCGCAGTCCCTGGGCAGCTCAAACCGCTTCGCCGAGCCCCGTCTGCAGCGCTGGGGGACGGCCGCCCTGTGGCACTTACAAGCAGTTCCGTGCGCCCTGCGGGGCAGCCCCCAACCCAAGTGTCCCCCGCTCAGAGCCCGCCCGTCCATAAGGTGTGGGCACTGCTCCCCGACGCGAACTGCAGCGGCCCCAGGGTGCCCCCCGTGCAGGACGTGCTGCTGCTGCCAGGACCGGCTCTAGGCTTTTGCTGCCCCTGCTCCTCCCTCCCCCCCAAAAAAGAGTCTGGCTGGAATGCCGCCCCTGAAAATGTGCCACCCCAAGCACATGCTTGGTTTGCTGGTGCCTGGTGCTGGTCCTGCTTGCAAAGTGTCAATGGGACAAAGGTCAATCTGACTGAAGTGAGGGTTGCAGATTCAGCATCAGAGAGAAAGCAGCAGCGTGTGTCTATTTATTCCTGCCTCCCATTGCCAAAGGCTTTTGAGAATCATTTATCAGGGAAATGCAATTGCCATGATCAGCAGAACATCTAAATGTATAAAACTGGAGGCTGGATTCTGATCTCCATGTAAATGGGGCATAACTGCACTGACTTTGATGAAGTCGATCTGGTTTTCTAGCAATGCAAGTAATGAGAATCTGGCCCCCAGAGCTTAGGGTCTGGTCCAACACCCTTTGAAGCGGTGCCTCTCTTGACTTCCAGGGGCATTGGATCAGGTTCTCAGAGTCAGGGAACATGAAGGAGTAGCTGCTAAAACAACTGATTAAAGAATCTGACTGTAATATTTAAAAAGGCCTGTTTCTTCTGCTGAAGACATGAATTTATATAGCATCTTATTAGATTGTCAGCTCCCTGGGGCAGAGACTATCTTTTTGTTCTGTGTTTGTACAGCACCTAGCGCCTTTCCTGTTATAAGTTTGTTGTTGAGTTCACCATTATCCTAGGCTATTGAACGTAAGTATTCCAACTTCTGTACCTTTGGTAGTGGCTAGCACTACAATGCTGCCCCTATTTTTACCAAATGGATCCTCAGTGACCACATAGTCTTGGTGTCTCCTCTCATCTTCTTTATTATAGACTGTTACTGATAGTGTAATAAATCTCCTGGCTCATTACTACATGTAACAGTAACTTGCGTCCCCATGATCATTTACAATGTATTAATACGCTATTGTTTCATTTCCAGTATCTTTTTTTAAAGGTTCTCTCTTCAGATGGATCAGTGCAAATGTTAAAGCGATGCTGTTAGATTGCATTTGGGTTTTGTAGAAACATGGGGGCTAATTCGCTTCCCACTTACATCAGTTTAGATTCATGGCTAGCCGTTGACTCGCTCCTAATTCTCACCAATGTGAGAGTGGAATTGGGTGTCAGGTTTTTACTAAGCCTTTTGTTTCCATGGTTTCTGAACTTTCTTCTATCCTGTTTGCTGCCCTAACACAGCAGTGTCTGACTAGCCTGTTGCAGTAGCCCAGGAGAGCAGGAAAGTGAGTAACTAGAGATAGGCCACGAAAATCTTCACTGTGAAAAATGCACAAAAGACAGCAGGAAAGTGAACAGCATGGATGGTGGAACGGAGGTACCGTAATCTGAGTTTAAAAAAATCATTACAACTGAAAATTTTAAAACATAGCAGCAATGACAGCCTTCTGCAAGCTACAACCAGCACTGTCCGTTCTGCTTTCTGCAGGCCAAATCCCCCATTCTTTTGCGCAGACACACCCACATCCTTACATAACAACGACAGCTACTCCACCCGATGATCTCAGGTGCTCTTAATATCAGAGGTAAGGACATTTTGTTTAAAAATGTGATGTTTTCTTTAAATGAATGACATGTGGGGTCACATCTTCCCATGCAGCCAGATGGCTAAATGGGCATTTAGGGCTACCTGCTGGTATAGGGGACGTGGCTGGTGGAAGAGGGCATGACCGTGCTGTCCCTACACCCTAGTGATTCTTCACTGGCCTTGGTATCCTTCAGATTGTAGCAGGCTGCACCAGGTCAAACAGAGCAGCCCTAAATTTGAGAGGGCAAAGGTCTCTTTAAGCAGCCTTAGCACCTTCCTCTCCTGAGGCCCCGCCTTTTAAAAATATATTTTAAATCTGTTGAAGTTTGAGCAAACTCTTGTCAGTCATTCTTGAATTCCCCAAAGCTGCCAGTGAGGAAATCAGCACAGAGTTTAAACACCACAACCCCAAACCTTTGGTAGTCCTGACAGCAGAACTGAGAAAACCTGAGCACAGAGCTAACCCCAGGGGTGGCCCAGAACTCCAGAGACCCCTGACAATCTGGGACGGCTTGCACAATAGGCCAGACTCTGGAAACTTCTGCGTGATCCTGTGATCATCATGGGGAAACAATGTGAGGGGTGGAGCTACAGCTGGCAGCGTTATTCGCTAACTCAGGGCGTGGATGTTGCTCTCCAGAAAGGAATGTTACTGAGACAGTTATTGACCCCGGAAAGCTGGGCACTGCTCTGGGGCGTGGGAGGAACCACTCCCTTACAATCTGTTTTCCAAAGCCTTGCAATAACTGCAATTCCCCCAGGGTGACTTGAGCACACGGTGCCTGGGCACAGTCTCTGAAGGGGAACAGGGTCTAAAGCAGAGATCGGTCTCTCCAGGTTGGGCTGGTCTGCCTAAGTCAAGTTGGCCTAGGCTGTGCGAGTGGGAGGGCTGGGAGGAGCAGCCAGTCCCTCACTAGAGGTGCCTTACCGTTCATAGTAGTCCAGTCCCTGATTTTCATTGGGCTGCCTGGCATTTTGAGATCCGTGGGCCCATTACACTTGTATCCATCTTGCTCAGGATGGGCTGATTCCCTCCCCCTCCCCCCAGGAAGGCACACATAATCAGGTCTGTGTATCCCATCGAAGAATTCGGAAAAGCCCCAAAGCGGCCTTGTTTGGCCAGCTTTAGTGTGTGTGGGGGGGAGGGCTCATGGGTCCATCATCCTAAGAGTAGGTGATAGAAATGGAATCTCCACTGGGCTACATCTAGTTGCTTTGGGCCTGGCTAACAGACCACTTCCTACCTCACATCATTCTGGTGCTGCTGTGATTGTCAGAGGCCCTTGATTTCCCAGACCTTGCTACGACAGAGAGGGTGCATCTCACAGTACCTTCTCCACAGGGCTCTGGAACACCCTTCCCTCCTGAGTCTTCACAGCCTCAACATAGTATGCTTCGGTGCAAGCTGTAGGGCTCCTTTTTTTCTCCTAGGCTTTGCTGGGAGGGATTGGGCACTGAGTGGGGATTAGCTGAGGGAATTAGTGTCTTGTTTCATTGGGGGACAGGTAGCGAGAGTACTTTCATAATTAGAGAGCAATTAATCTGAGTGTTGTAGGGTCCTCTGGGCCACACTGGTAGCTTGACATTATCTGTAATTTCCATGTTGCACAAGCCCCTGGGGCTAAGGCAGACACGTTGTAAAAATCAGAAAGGGAAATTCAAACTTTAGTCAACCAAGTTTGAATGTGAGGCTCTTAACCAGGGAAGTCCTGTTACTAAGCAACCGCATCTCTGCCAGTGAGATCATATGTACAAAAACCAGTTGAACCATGTCTTTAGGGTGTTGCCTTGTGGGGTTTATAGAAAAGGAAGGCGCACATGTGTACATTTTTGGTGCAGAGGTGTCAGTTAGACCCTGCAGCAGTCAGTGTGAATAGACCTCCAGAGAGCAGAATAATTATTTTTTCTTATTTTCTAGTGGTGAGTTTGCAGGAAACTTTTTTGTTTTTCCAGTTCACATGTGCTCAAGAACTTTAACTTTCAAAAGATCTAACATGTAACTTCCTTTATTTACAGGAAAAAGAATTGCTTCCAAGTGTACCATGGCGTGGTGGAAGGGCTGGGTAAGTAGAGAAAATACTGGAGTGTGAAACTCTCTGTACGTGATTTCAGAGGCATATTGTCATGCCTCAGACAATATATAAATTCTATGTGTAGAGACAGAGTAAAATCCTTCCACTTACAAACTGACCACACCTGCTGCATGATCACTCTGTGTGCATGTGTTTGATTGAGGAATCTGTTAAATATGTTTGATGGTTTTTAAGCAACAGGCTAGAACTTTTATTGGCTGTTTGCTTATGAGAGGGGTTAGGTGGGTGGAGAATTTACTGAAGGACAGCTAAGCGGAGGAAGTAAATTCTGCATTTAGTTCTGAGAGCTGTGAACAATTTGGTCTATCTTCTCCCTTGTGGGAATGAGTTAGTCGAGGTCCAGCTCCTGCAAACATTCAACCTCCCATTGTCATCAACCTCTTGATTGATTACCAGGCTGATTGCTCCAGCTGCGGTGGTAGGTCCTGGTCCTAGAAGGAGATGTGGTCTCAAGTAGCTATGCCATTGCCATGGAGGGTTTTGAATATCAGTTCAGGGAGCTAGACTCAATTGGGAGCCAAGACCACAATGTTCCTTTAAAGTTCACATTACTTTGAAAATGTACATTTCAAATTCTGGTCCAATGGCTGAATGGCTTTCACTGAGGCAGACCCATTCTGTACCTAAAGTCAAAGTACGGAGGGCAGCAACTGATAGTGTGTGTAATCTAGGCCCCACTGAAATTAATGGCAAAATTCCTGTTACCTTCAGTAGGTTCAGGATTCCACTCTGTGACTTTGTATTGATTTACCAAGAGCTGGAGATAAAGAAGAGACCTACATGATGATGGTGTGCTGGTAACTGGGAAAGAGTTTACTTCCTGAACAGTCACCTACCAGCCACCAGAGTTACCAGGAGCCCTGTACGCAGTAGAATGGGTCAGAAACATTTTGATGACACATTTTAATTTGTTCCATTGGAAGCCTATCTGGCTTCCTGCCAGCTGAGCCATCCAGCTCCTCCAGAGCCCACCTGGCAGGCTAATGGGGAGCCAGGGAGATCCAGCTCCGAAACTCTAAGACACATGGCTGTTAGACAGCCTAGGTTCTTGCAGCTTCCAGGGTCTCTGGCTCTATGGCAGCCCATCAGGCAAACTGCCCCAGAGCTGGGCAGAGAATAATTCCCTTCCGCAGAGAACTTCAGAGCTTTGGCTTTTGTTCCAAACTGGAATGAAACCAGATTCTGAAATCTCAAAATCCTCCACAGAATGGTGGTCCAGTTCTCCACCCAGCAATGGCCAGCCGTGTTCCAAACACCATCGCCAAACAGTCATTATCCTTATGGGGTTTGTTTAGCTGTCTTCCATTAACTGTTTTGTCCCAAGGCCTCCTCCTTTCTGTATTGCCCAGTAGTTGGGCTCTAAGGCTCTCATGTGATACAGATCAGTGTACACCTCAGATCATGTATCTCCTGGTGCTTTTACTCTATCCAGTATAAAATGTGGAGAACAGTGAGGGCCAGGATTCTACTTCAAGTGGACAAAACATTTGCTCTGGTTTTTTGACTGTGATTGTTACTGGTAGAGTTGGTTGGAAAATGGACAAATCATTTTATGGAAATATTTCAAATTTGTTTCCATTTCGCAGGGTTCAAATGCAACAATTTTCTGTATTTTTTTAAATGTTTTCTCATTTTGCCCCCCTCATTTTTCTCCATGAAACTTGAAATGTCAGCATTCTTCTCCCCCCTTTCACCACCGGGTCCAAGAAGATGAATAATGGGTGGATGGGGGGCATGACTTTTTTCCTTTTTTTCCTTTTTTTTTAATTTTTAATTTTGCTGCTCTGTCTCTCTTCCAAAGTTGGAGGCACTTTGAAAAATGAGAGTGGAAAGAGGAAGCAAAGCACGGAACCATGACCACTGCAGAGCCCTGGAGATTGTTCTTTCTAATCAATAAAAAAGTGGGGGAGGGGAGCAAAGTTTGAATTTTCTTTTAGTTTTTGAAAAACAGAGTTGAAAATTTCAATTAAAAATACAAAATGTGTTGTTTTTTTAGAAACTTTCCATTAAAAAAAAATCCACATTTTCCCATGGAAAACTTAGGTTTTTGGACAAAACGCCACTTTTCAATTTGGAAAATTGTAACTAGAGATGGTCACAAGTAAAAAAGCCTAAATTAGGAGCATGTCAGGTAGAGCAGATTCCTCTGCTTGCCTGTCTAATGGTCTTGCTCATTATAGCAGTGACACATGCATTGACTCATTTCAGTCAGTAGCTATGTGGAGTCACCTGGAAACAGAAAGCCAAATGAGTCTCAGACAGATTCTTGTCCTAACCTGATATGGCCACACCTTTCTCTCTCCCGAGGCTATGACAGCCAGAGAACACAAATAGAGGACCTGGGTGGTTGTGAGTCATGCCTGATTCCTTCTAGCCAGAACTGACTCAAATCCCTGATTGGGATTTTTTTTAAAAGGATCATTTAAATTTGTCTGCCTTGCCACCAAACCCCTATAAATTAAAACTCTCCTTTGCACTCCCCCAATCTCGGAGTCACGGTGCACCAACCTGGAGCACTCCCCAGGCTGCTCTAACTCACACCCAGACTGCTAACAGCCCGCAGGGACTGGAGCTGCAGCCAATAGTGGGGCATCCCAATCTTGCCTCCTTTCCTTGTCCACATCCCCTCTGCTAGTAGCAAGGAGCAAGGGGCATGGGAGTCTTGATGTTGATTATAAGCAATGGTGCGGTGATCCTTCCAGGGTCAGGAATGCCAGCTGGACTGCCACCTTCCACCAGAAGTATAGCACACAGTGGCAGCACCTCACTTGAGGATCTGGCCCTTCACATGGCTCTGGAGGGCTGTGAAAAGGAGGACAATGAATTTGAATTTAATGCAGTGAAGAAGTGTGACTGGGAGGACTGGGGAGACAATGCAATCAACAACAGGGAGGAAGATGTTTAGCAGGGCAGCTAACTTTGGGTGCCCATGCGGGGTTGATGTAGGTATGAGGACAAGGATAAATAAAGACAGAGAAACAGCAATAAACCTAATATTCAAACTATGGGCTAAGTAAACCAAACCCCAGTTAACTAAATCTAGACAGAGGAACCCCCTTGGCCCCTAATATAGAAGGAACCAAGCTTCACATACAAGGAAAACTATGCAAGTAACTCTCACTATTCCAACTGCTTCCAGTCCTAGGCTGTGTCTCAAAGGGCGCTAGATACAGTAGCATGGATGTAGGCGGACAACTTTCCATCCACACAGATGTTTTCCTTCATTTCTTCTGCATAGAGCTAGGCCACCCCAACAGCTGCTTTCAGGCAAATGTAGTCAGCGGACAGGAACCTTTGTTTCATAGAGAATAAGGCCAGAAGGGACCATTATGATCATCTAGTGAGTCTGACCTCCTCCTGCATGACATGGGCCATAGTATTTCACCCTGTGGTTCCTGCTTAAGTTTGAATCCCTTCTGCTATTACCACTGGTGCAGCCTCGGCCTCCACACCTCTTTTCCTAGAGATTTACCGAGCAGTCCAAGTTCTTCCCACACACAATCCCTCTGCTGCCCACATTCTTCCAGCCCACGGCCGTCTCCAAGTGAGCCTTGCCAGGTAGAAGAGCTTGAAAAAGATTCCTCCAGGACTCGCATGCCTGGTTTCCCGTGAGATTTTGCAAGGTCACCAGCATGCAGCTCCACCCTAGCGTTACTATGGGCATGGTTCCCAGTCTCCTACCCGGCAGATAGCGCTAACAAAAGCTGAGTAGGGGTGACTATTGGTTCCATTAGCTCTGCATTGGAAAACTGAGTCCAAGGTTGGCAATTGCCTCCCATGGAGAAAAAGAATGTAAATAAATTCATCTGACTAATCAAAGAAGACCGCTGACTTCCCTTGTAAGGTTCGGGATAGGCTTGGAGGCAGATGGTCTGAAAGGCTAGCAAGGTATGACATGTTGCTTTCACAAAAGCAGTCTCCTAGACCTGAGTCCAGCTGATTGGAGACTTTGGGGTCGTCTATGTGGGCAAGTTTCACCAGTTATATTGAAATGGCTATCCCATATGGACTCCTAATCTGGCATGAATGCCTCTTTCAGGTTTAGCTTCAACCCTTTCCCAAGCAACATAAACTAACCTGAAAAAGCATTCTTATACTGGAATAAGGTTGTCCACCAGGGGGTAATACCAGAACAACTGTATTGGTGTAAGTTCACACTTTTAGTTTACATCAAAAATCTTTCCCATGTAGACAAGGCCTAAGGCCCCAAATTATCTGGAGTTGGCGGGTAAATCGAAACCTGTCCCCAGCTAGCTCCATTAGGTGAACCCTACGCTGCAAGGCTGGGTTTGGGCTGTTTGCATCACAGGGTTGGGATGTGTTAAAACGCTACCACTTAATAAACAGTACAGGGAGGAGAGGGCTGGCCATTTCCCTGCGGCTTGCCCAGAGACCCCCTCTAAGCCAGGACCCCAGGCTGTGCATGAAGGAAAGAGATTCTGGCTCAAATTTGCTAAACCTGAACTTCTCCAGTTTCATCCACCCTTGCAAAATACACTGGTTCCTCTTGCGTGGCCTGTAGCACTCCTTTGGGATGCCACACCCTGTGAAGCCAGTCACGCCCAACTCCACCTCAGTCGGGAGCCAGCCAAGTAAAACTGTGGCACAGAAAAGCCCATGTTTTCAACAGGGATATGCCATGGAACAGATGAAGTTATGTATAAAACTATCCTGCATGATAACACTCTGGTTATAGCAGAGGTATAGTATCACACACAAATACTCAACCCTGCTCATGATTTACGTGGTGCCTGGAAAACTGTGTTTAAAATGGCAAGCTATCACTTTAAGATTGAAGGGTTTCCAGGTCCTGCTTGCAGGCTAGGGGCTCGGTAGGGAAGCTTGTGATCTGGGGCTTGCAGAGCCAGTCTGCAGAAAGGAAACCTAGAAGAAGGGGGGTGAGTTGTGCCGCTGTTTTAGGGAGCAGCCTGCTTTATTTCTTTCTGTTTGGAGTTCTTGTGTGTTATCGTTCTGGATTCTAAGAAATAAAGTTGTGTTATATTGCAGCCTTTCCAGCAATAGTATTTTGTGTGTTTATCTAACTTGTGCGCGTATATGCTGTGAACATTACAAGATACCACCTTTCCAGGCAACAGGAAAGTCCAGTTTCAATAGTCAGGTCTTTCTGCTGGGACTGCCATTAAGGAGTTAATGAGCACCTATTGCAATAGTGTAATTTGTGCTGTAGGTCCACTGGGACCTGAACTGAGCCCTATCAAACTAATTTCACATGGGATACATAGTTGCCTTTTCTTACAGCGTGATGAAGATGGCAGCTCAGTGAGAGGCACCCTGAGCTTTGACCCCACACCTGATGCCCAAGTTTTGTATAAAGCCATGAAAGGACTGGGTGAGTTGACGCTATTACCAGCCATGTATTTAAAACATTCTACACTTCAGTTATAGCATTAGCACAATTCCCTACAGAAAACTACCGCTGTTTATGCCATCACGCGGGGATTCAGAATCCAAGCTGCTCCAAATGTGCTTAAATTCCCTCATTGTCAGGGCAGTGAGTTTGGGAAGGTCGGATGGGTAATACCCTTGGGAGTTTTAGACATGTCTTGCCTTATTCTCCTGCACAGTGTGTTTACATCCTATCATTGTTCGTTTCCAGGGACTGACGAACAGGCTATAATCGACGTCCTCACCAAAAGGAGTAATGCACAGCGTCAAAAGATTGCCAGATCATTCAAGGAACAGTTCGGAAAGGTTATCCAGAGAAAGGACGTCTGATAAACTTTCTCTTTGCACTGCATGATGTTTTTCCTGGAAAGGGAGGTGTTAGAGACCATGGGAGCACTGCCCTCTGCTAGATGGAATGTCAGATGTTGCGTGTTTGTGTCACCCATTGGTCTATTGGCACTGGTGTTGTAGTCGTGTTCGTCCCAGGATATTAGAGAGACAAGGTGGGAGTGGTAATATCTTTTATTGGACCAACTTCTCTTGGCAACAGGGACTAGCTTCCAAGCTTACACAGACCTCTTCTCTCTCACCAACAGAAGCTGGTCCAATAAAATATTCCCTCACTCACCTTGTCTCTCTCTAGATATTTTATGGAAGAGTACAGAGATGACGGGCACTGACACTACTACATCAGTGCAAGTCTGCCTTCTTAATGGAGGCCTGTGTTCTTGGGACCAAAGGTTTTATCTACTGCAGATATGCAGTATAATTAATGGCCATGATGTTCTGCAGCATCCAGATTTCTTGTCCAACACCAGTCCCCTGATTTATTACCAGGCCTGGGCTGGCCAGAGCATGTGTGCATGAAGAGCAGAGCCGGTTGGAAAGCACAAGCTTCCCTATGGGAAATTTCAAGGGTTTGGGTTTGTGGAAGAGTTTCGGGGATGAATTCTAGAATGTTTGTGAAGTGCCCAGATATTGCAGCTATTGGCGGGGGCACTACAGAAATACCTAGACAGAATCCACTCAGAAGGGTGGCCTTCTGATCAGCCCATAGGTGCTTTTATAAGAAACCAATCAGCATGACACTGTGCATCAGCTTTATTGCTGTAGCTCATCATGAGGGTTACAAATGGAGATTCAGGGAAAGTGACGTGCAACGCAGTGAGCATTGGAGGCACTCTTCCCTTAATTAGATCTTTCGTGTTTAACAGGATCTTATTGCCAGCTTGAAGTCTGAACTGAGTGGCAAGTTTGAGAGGCTCATCATAGCCCTTATGTACCCACCTTTCAAATACGATGCCAAGGAATTACATGATGCCCTGAAGGTAAATCAATGACATGCTGCTTATTAAGTGGTAGCAGGAACACTGTGCTAATTTCCTGTGCTAATACAAGTGCTTAGTAACTGAACTGGATGAACCCTTTCCACGGTATCGTTTCTCAGAGGCCAATGTTTATAGCAAATATTTGGTTGGATACGCTATTACAGCACGTCTTTGGTGGAAAGGGCACCCTGTAAAATATTATTTATGCATTTGACTTGAGGCCAGCAGCAGAACTGTGCAAAACTCCCTATTTCTGGTGAAGAATGATTGCTGAAAATTACAGATCTCTGGCTTATTGCCACTTCTTGCTCTATAAAATGCCCAAGATCCTCTTCTTTCTGTCCAGACAGCCACGGCTCTCATCTACGCCCTCCTCTGCTGTCTTGACAACCATAACCTCCTTCTCTCTCGGGCCTTCCCAACAATGTCAGGTCCCCACAAAACACAGTTGCTAACATCATCATCCTCACCATCAATGACCACATCACCACATTCTTTGAATCCTTCCAGTGGCTCAAGTTCAAAGTCCTTGTCATCCCCTTCCAGGCCCATCAAATAAGAATGGATATACTGGGTTACACAAAGTTCCATCTAGCCCAGTATCCTGTCTTCTAACACTGGCCAATGCCAGGTGCCCCAGAGGGAATGAACAGAGCAGGCAATTATCAAGTGATCCATCCCCTGTCACCCATTCCCAGCTTCTGGCAAACAGAGGCTAGGGACACCATCCCTGTCCGTCCTGGCTAGTAGCCATTGATGGACCTATCTTCTATGAACTTATACTGTTCTGTTTTGAACCCTGTTATAGTCTTGGCCTTCACAACATCCGTTGACTGTGTGTTGTGTGAAAAAATACTTTATTTTGTTTGTTTTAATCCTGCTGCCTATTAATTTCATTTGATGCCCACTAGTTCTTGTGTTTTGAGAAGGAGTAAATAACACTTCCTTATTTACTTTCTCCACACCAGTCATGATTATCATATTCCCCCTTTAGTAGTCTCTTTTCTAAGCTGAAAAGTCCCAGTCTTATTAATCTCTCCTCATATGGAAGCCGTTCCATACCCCTAATAATTTCTGTTGCCCTTTTCTGAACCTTTTCCAATTCCAATATAACTCTTTTTGAGATGAGGTGATCACATCTTCAGGCAGTATTCAAGATATGGGCATACCATGGATTTATATAGATGCAATGTAGTATTTTCTGTCTTATTATCTATTCCTTTCTTAATGATTCCCAATATTTTGTTTGCTTTTTTGACTGCTGCTGCACATTGAGTGGATGTTTTCAGAGAACTGTCCACAATGATTCCAAGATCTCTTTGTGGTAACAGCTAATTTAGACCACATCATTGTATATGTATAGTTAAGGTTGTGTTTTCCAATGTGCATTACTTTGCATTTATCCACACTGAATTTCATCTGCCATTTTGTTGCCAAGTCACCCAGTTTTGCGAGATCCCTTTGTAATTCTTCGCAGCCTGCTTGGGACTCACAACACATCCCCTCCCTGCTTGTCCCCTGTTGTCTACTGCACCCTACTCATCAAATCTGCTCTGCAAGAGAGGCCATCATCAGCCACTCATTCATCAGTTTCTAACACCAACATCCCTGCACCTCCTCCCAGCCTGTCCTTTGTGCATGGGATGTCCTCCTTGGACCAATGCATAAGACTACTTCCCCTCCTCTTTCAAATCCCTAACCTCTGACATGAAGCCCATAAGAAATCTGCCACTGATGATGACTGGAGGGGCAGGATAGGATAATGTCTTCTTCCAGGTCAGAAGAGGTTGGTATGGGATGTTTGCATCCCAAAGTTGTGATGTGGGACTTTATTTCTCTACTTCTAACAATTTGCAAAATTACCAGTGAAGAGCAGTATATGAAAATTGTATGTAGATGGATAGATTTGATTGCACCACTCTCCTCACACCCTTCTTATGCCACTTGTCTTTGAAAGCCTTGATGAATGCATTGTACATGGGCAGAGCCCCATAAAATCAACCTCAGCTCTAGGATTACTCAGAGGAGGGGTGAGCCTTAGCAAACAAATCTGTACTGAAACCGAACAAGTTGCGTGTGGTTCCTGGTTTCACAGTGACAATTTATCACAGCTCGGCACAGAGCCTATGACAACCCTCAGATACTTTAATTTGAGGCCTAGTTTTCTAAGATAGCTTTAATTGCATGGCAAAATATTTTCTCCCAGTCTTTTTATTCTTTTCCTCTTAAAGGGTCTAGGAACAAGTGAAGGTGTCATTATAGAGATCCTGGCATCACGGACAAAAGTGCAAATTAAAGAAATAATCAAAGCTTACAAAGAAGGTAAAGCAGCTTTTGCTACACTGTGTGTGATAGAAGCACTGCAAGGGGGCTTTGTGCAAATTGAATTAACTGCTAACATTTTGCCTAGTAAGGCGGGATCTTTAAAAGAGCTGAGTGTTGACTTCCTAATGGAGTCAATAGGAGTTGGGCCAACGCTGGCTGCTTCTGAAAAAATCCCATCTTTAAATGTCCCATCTAGTAACAGGCAAACCTCAAAGGTGTCATGGGTTTAGTTCATGTGGATAGCAAGCAAACCAATGTTGGTGTAATGGAATCTTCCTGTCTATGGAGCATTATTTGTTCACCAGTTTTCGCTTTACTGGGACATGCCCCAGTTGGGAATCTGTCAAATTTATGTCCATGCCCATCCTTCAGTCCCTCAAGGCTCCAGGGCAGCATTTGGCCTTGAGAGAGGGTTTCAGAAAATAAGGCCCGGATTCCATAAGGTACTTAATTAAATACATGCTTGGCTTTTGAGCATGCTCTTGGTCCCTTGACTTCATGGAACTACTGATGTACTTAAAATTAGACACCCTGCTGACGCACCTTCCTGAGTCGGGACTAAGTGAGATGCTCACAGCCATGTGTTTCCCTCAGGTTACCTTCTTGGGGCCTGCCAAGCATTCATTTGTCTCTGGAAGGCATGGTGACACCTCAGTCATTCACTGTGCCTTTCAGTGAGCACACGTCACCCCCACCTCTTCTTGGTCCTCTTTCCCTTGCAGAATATGGTTCTAACCTGGAAGAGGACATCAAATCGGACACAAGTGGCTACTTTGAGCGGATATTGGTTTGCCTCCTTCAGGTAAGGTTGTGATGAAAGAATGGGGAGCCAGGGCTCTTCATCGTCCCTTCTTCCAATTGGGGCTAGCAGTGAGTACAGGCCTTTTATTGCAAGCCCACCTGCTGCAGGTAGCCATCAGAGTTACTAGATAAATCACCCACACAGAGAGACCCCCTGATCTAGATCTCTGCTTTAAAAGCTGACGCAGAGTCGAGAGCTCCTTTGGGCACTAGTAGTTAGCCTCCAAAGCTGCTTCTGTCAACTCAGCCACTGGGGGCACCATCCTATACACCATCCATTCCTATACAGCAACCAGGGCATTGCTCTCCAGCTAGTTTCAGAAGTGATGTACCCCAATTGCATTGTGCCCCCTTTCCATATTCTGCCCCACAATCTTCAGAGAGCATCTCCACGCGTCAGAATTATTGACCTGAGTTAACCAATAGCAACAGATTGGCTCCTCATCATATGAGTGGTCTCACCAACCAGGATTTTTCTCTTGTATTGTATGTAACAATATGGCTTCCTACCTTGCAGGGATGAAGGGCTGGGAGGATGAATTAATCCATCTGTAAAGTGCTTTGAGATCCTCATGTGGGCAGCACTGTAGGAAAACAAATAACCGTGTTTCCATTGTACCCTCCTAGGGTGAGAGGGATGATCCAAGATGCTATGTGGATTCAGCGATGGTTCTTCAGGACGCACAGGTATTTCTATAAAGTGACCGGTCCTTTACCATAACACTGATTCTTATGGTGTGACCTGGTAGGGAATGGAATTACTCACCCTGCTGTAACAATTCGTTACTGTCCCAGTTTAAACAAAGGCAGAGGTTGTGGTGTGAAAGGTCTAGCTCACCTGGCAGCAAGTGGCATGTAGAATCGGTTGTCGAAGCAGCACAAGCAGTGCCCCAGCACACATCCAGTGGGAGCGGAAATGCTGCTTTGCACCGAGCTGCATGAGCCCCTCCTCTGTGAGATCCATGCCTCTAACGTCACTGGGAGCTGTAACTGATGTGTTTCAATCACAGGCTCTTTACGCTGCTGGGGAGAAGATACGGGGCACTGACGAGATCCAATTCATCACCATCCTGTGCACCAGGAGTGCCACCCACTTGCTGAGAGGTACAGAGCAGGGGGATGCATTCCCATGCACGGCAACGGCTTCCAAAATGAGAAAGCATCCCCCACAGAAAGCAGAGGCGAGGCCAGCCCAGGCCAACTGGGATGCCCAAAGTTAGGCAGCTAGATCCACATTTAAGCACCTAAATACATGCCCTGATTTTTTTTCAGAGGTATTGAGCATCCAGAAGCTCCCATTTGCTTTGGTGGGCGATCTTAGCACTCAAAACATCTGCAAATCAGTCCATTTACTGAAGATTCAGGTACCATAGAGACTGGTGTGTTAGACAAAGATGGCTGGATAGAGAGACCAGGTGGGCGAGGTAATATCTTTCATTGGACCAACTTCTGGTGGAAGGCACAAGTTTTTGAGTTTCATGGAGTTCTTCCTCAGGTCTGGAGATGGTAATCACCCTTGTCACCTTCTCCAGACCCAAAGAAGAGCTTGGTGACACTCAAAAGCTTGTCCCCTTCACCAACAGAAGTTGGTCCAATAAAAGATATCACACCAGAGAGAGAGTGTGTCACTTTCTAAAATGCATTACAACATGCTGTTCATACCTGTGGCATTGTTCTATGTTGAAGAATCACAAAACACTCAGGTGGAATCTCTGCACCATGCTCCTAAGAACATGATAGGTATTAGTGACAGAGGGAAATAAGACTTCAGACCGTCCCCTGAGCAGCGTAGAGCTGCCAGTGACCACAGACAGTTCAGACTAACAGGCTTTGTTACATTGGCTGTTGTGCCCAGGTTCATAATAGGCCAGTCACCCGGTGCAAAGTTGGACCATGTGCCTACAGCAGGTGAACCTGAACTTGGCTTCTGTGGCCTCTTGCTAGGAATCTGAGGCCAACTCCCTCTTACATTTCCAGTTATAACCTCACAGAATCCGTTCTGTATTGCTGGCCTCGAGAGATCAAAAATCATGAGGCAGACCCCCAAAAATCATGAGTTTAAAAAAAAAATCAAATCGTTGATCAAAGAAGGGCTGGAGGGTAAATAGTTTGAGATCCACTCACCTAATTAAAAAGCAACGGAGGGTCCCGTGGCACCTTTAAGACTAACAGAAGTACTGGGAGCATAAGCTTTTGTGGGTAAGAACCTC